GTGCTGGGGAGGGGAGGGATGAGGAAGAGCCAGACTCCTGGACTTGGGGGAGGCCCTGAGTTTGGATTCGGGCTCCGTGGAAGGATCTGGATGGCAGCCTTCTTCCTACTAGGCGGCTGCTCCTTCTCCTCGTCTTGTTTTCCTTCCAAAGATGTGCGACCCGCCCTGGGTAGAATTTGGGCGCACAATTCTTTTATTTCTCTTCTGACATTCAGGATTCTCCTTTGCTGATCCTGCTGGAAGTGTATGAATTGTGCATGGACTACAAAAATTACAGCCAAGCCAAGATCAAACTGCTCACATTCCAAGAGAGTCTTTCAAAAGTAAGCGGAGGTTTAGTTTGCTCCCTGTGGCTTTTTAACAAACGGAAAAGGCGGGTTTCCCTTTTTGCGCCCTGAATGCCGCCAGCCCTTGGAGGTCGCCTGGCTCCCAGGTGATCAGAATCCCCAGCGGTCCGGCCAGGGTTGCTCCTTTCTCGGCTCCTGGATTGGTGCCTTTTCAGCCCCTGTTGATGAGATCCAAGATGCAGAGCGCTTCTCACGCCGGTTGACTTGATGGTGGGGATGCCCAGTGGTGACCCCACTGGCGGCCACCTTCCATGTTTGGTCAGCATTCCGGCCTTCACAAGCAGGGCCATCAGGGAGCTTGCATCTACTCCATTGCCTCCCCTTTCTTGTGGCCAAAGGAGAAACTTGGCTATTCAGGGCAAGGAATCATGAGTGTCCCACATGGGGGCACAGGAGCGTGGCCCGCTGGTGCTTGTCAGTAGGCCAGGGAGAGAGTGTTGTGGTTTGCCGGCAGCCTGTGCAGATGGCAGCAGAATCGGACAGTGGGAAAGGGGACCAGTCAAGGAGTCCGGAGAGGACTCGGACGAGGGTCCTGCGTCCGATGCAGGGATGGGGGCAGGACCATCTGGGAGTGGGGTGCTGACTCTGGGGCCTGGCAGCAGTGAGGCAGAAGAACAAAGGGAGCCTGTTCCCAGAGTGCGTCTGCGCAGAGCTGCTAGAAGGCGAGCCTTGCCCTCTTCTTCCTGCAGCTTGAAGCTCCGTGTGCGAGGTGGCCGCCCGTCCTCCCGGGGCCCTGGCTGGAGACTCAGGCTTCCTTCCTTCTCAACCTGATGCTGCACCAGTGCAGAACAGAGTACGAATTCGGAAAACTTCTCGAGCTGCTTGCAGATGCAGGAGCTGCTCTTCTCCATGGCAAGGACCCCTCCGTTCTCTTCTCTGCTGCGGCTGACCCGGCGGGGGGGGGGGGGGGGGGGGCTCAGGACAGCCTTACCTAGGTCAGGTGGCAGTAAATTTCCTGCTGAAGTCACAGCAGGTGACCGTTTGGGAGGACAAGGATGCTGGAATCAGTGGGCTCTGCTGGCTGAGCTGCTCTGGTTTGGATGCTAGGTTTTTTTCCCAACTGGGATGCCTCAGCTATGCAGCTCTATGTGGGTGTGTGGGGGGGGAGGAACTCAGGAAAAGCCCCTTTGCTCCGTTCCCAGAGTCTTGTCTTGTTTAGCGACAGGCCGTCCCTTTCCTGTCGCTATGGCCCCTTCTCCTTTTTGGGTGCAGGACCAGATCTGAAGAAGCTCAGTGCCCTCCGCACCATCCTGAAAGATTCGCCCGTCTCCATCAGCCGGACTCTGCTGAGCGACTACAGCCTGGAGCGGTTTCAGGCGGAGTGCCAGAGGATCCTGGACCGGCTGCAGGAGAGCAGCTCCTTTGCTGTGGCTCGCCGGGTCGCAGAGCTGGCCGCGCTGCCTGTAGACAATGTGGTCATCCAGGAGGTACCCTGGAGTGGAGCCTTTCTTTTACTTTTATTTTTATCCCCGCCGATTGGGTTTCCTCTGCCGGAAAACTAGCGTCCTCCCTGTCAGCTGTTGGAAGCTGCTTCCCCCGCCCCCCCCCCACGTCTGGTGCAGCTGTGTGTCCGGATCTGGCCCTGTTTTGGGGCCCTCAGTCAGCCTGAGGCAGCCTGGCTGTCCGGATTCCGGCACTTACCACCACCACCACCCCCATTTAAATCCTGAGTCTCGAGCCAAACTTCCAAAGCTCCAAAAGGATTTATTGGGAGTTAACATATCCGGCATTGCCTGGGTGTAGCCGACTCTGAGACACATCGTTCACTGTCACCCTTGACCCTGGTTTGCCCCCCCTACCCCCGGGGTGTATTGTAGTTCATATTCTCCAACGGGACACCTCCATAGCCAAGAGTCATCAATCATACTCTCCAGTTAGAATTGTGCGCATCAGAAACTCCGGTCACCTAGTTCCTATCTTTGAAAACATTTGTGGAATGCACTTTCGGTTTGCAAGCTGCCGCACTGCTCCCCCCTCTCCCTTTCTGCTGGCAGCTCTGAAAAGACCATAGAAATACCATGTTCTGAGTTGACAGTGGCCCTCCCTCACGAGCCACACTTGGCTCTCCAGAGTTCACGGAACCCCTGCCAGGAAGGGGGGCAGAATAGTCAGGGCGGGAGAAGCCCTTGGGGGGGCGGGGGGGGAGGCAGGAGGGAGGGCCGGCCGTCCCTGGGATCGTGGAGTTTTGTGTGCCAGGCAAGCCTTTCTGTGCAGTGGGGTTCCTTGGCTTCTGATGGCTGTTTGTGTCCTTTCCAGGCGCTCCAGAACCTCCTCCTCCTGAAACAGGCTGGCCACTGGACTCAAAAAGAGACCCGAGTTGAGTTCTGGAAAAAGTGTCACGAGAACTACGTGCAGAATGCCGTCTCGAATCGAGCTGCCTCCGGCTTCTTCTCCGCTCAGGCAGAATTGGTCCGGGAGGATGAGGGGGCACCCAGCAGCATCTTGGAGAGGCAGCTCCTGCTTACTTTGGCTGGACACTGGCTGGTCAGGAGCGACCCGGCGGTCCCTGTTGATGATCTGGAAAAGATCGAGAGGGAGGTTTGGCGTTGCCGCATCGCGCGACAGACTTTCGGCCGAGGCCCAGGGCAGGTCGAGCGCAGAGGGTCTCACCAGGTTTCCAGCAGTCGTGAGCTGACCTTTGAGTCCCTGGCCAAGGCCTTCTGCTTCTCTAAGGCGGCTGCTTTAAGCCTCCCCAAGTACCTGGAGCTGAGAGGTTTCCCTTCCCAGGACGCAGCCCCGGGGACGCTTTCCGAGGCGGAAGTGGCCTCCCTGAGTTTGCTGATTGGACGCCTTCTGGACGAAGGGAGCCTGCACGAAGCGGCCCGGGTTTGCCGCTACTTCGGCTTCTACAGCCGAGATGTCGCGCTGATCTTGCACTGCAGAATGCTGGCCCTGGGGGAGGATGCCCAGGGCTGCTTTCACCCAGAGATCCAGGCCCTCCTGGCAGCTGAGAACAGCCAGAGGCACAGAGAGGCGGGCCCCGAAAAGAAGCGGCTGAAGAGTTGTAAGTGGCATCCCCGGGGAAACATCCGAGCGGGGCCAGTTCCTCCCTCACAGGCCATTTGCGCTCTTCCCTCATGGCAGCAGCACAGAGGCCTCCAAACTGGGCACTTCTGGGAGTTGAAGTCCACACGACTTAAAGTTGCCCAGTTTGGGAACCCCTGCAATAACACTCAGACTTATATACCGCTTCCCAGCGCTTTCCAGCCCTCTCTAAGCGGTTTACAGAGTCAGCCCCTTGGCCCCCAACAATCGGGGTCCTCATGCCTTCTAACCGCTGCGCCACCCATGGCTCCCGATAGCCCACTTGCTTCTGTTTGCCAGCCTGCTTCTGGAGTGGGGCCGGGTGAGCCGGGTGGAAGTGGGGTTTTATGCCGGGCCCTTCTACTGGGGATGTAGGCCTCCCACTTCAGTCCTGCCCTTCTGACAGTTTCTGTTCCTACCTGCTAGCTGGCCTGCTTGCAACTTCCGGGCAGCAGGAAGATGGCGGGATCTGGGCTGGAGTCCAGCCTTTACTGTCGCCCCGCTTAGCGGTAGAAATTCCCAACGGCTGTTGTAAGCCGAGGAGCGCTTGTGCCATTCCTCCCCACCCCCCCAGAAGTAAGTGGAGAAGGACGGGGCCATTCAGCAGCCGCTCCTTGGCAGGTCCAGAGGTCCTGTGGGTCCAGAGTTTGTGAACAGAGCCGGATTCAGTCCTGATGGGTTGTGGGGCTGTGTCGTGCTCTCCTCCCCTCCCCGCCCCCAACCACCCCGGTCTGTTGCTCTGGCTGTTTGCTCACCTCCGAGATGTTGGTTTTGTTCTCAGCCACAAGCCTCGATTCCTGGTCCTCCGTGGGGAGCTCCTCCCCAGATGACGGCGTTGCCGGCAGCCTTCAGGCTTTAGTTGCAGAGTGTGTGCATGGTCGGAATTACTGTCGACAGACCCTCTGCCTTTACGAACTCTCCAAAGTACGTGGCTGGGACCTGGAGTTCCGGGGGGGGCGAAGGGCCGGCAGCCCCTGTGCGTCAAGCGGGAAGGGCAGTGGGCCTGACTCTTCTCCCCTCCCCCCCCCTTCCCGGCTGTCGGCAGGAGCTGGGCTGCTCCTTCAGTGAGATCGCCGTCCATGATTCGGAGAAGCTGCTCCGGACGATCCTGTCCTCACAGCAGCCAGAGGGGTACAAGAGGGCCCAGGCCTTCATCACCAACCAGGGCCTGGAGCCGGAGGCCGTGGCTGAGCTGGTGGCCGAGGAAATCACACGCCAGCTGCTGGCTCCTTCGGAAGGAAGACCCAGTAAGTCCCCCCTCGGTCTCTGCTTGGGAACCCAAAGCCGGACAGATGGGTTCGGCTCTGGGGGGGGGCGGCAGTTGCTGCTCCCTGGACTTTGGCCCTGTCCTTTCACGCTTCTCTTTGGGTGGGTTTGGATGGGGGGGGGTCTCTTTCTTGAACTAGAAGCCCCCTCCCACCTCTCCTGTTCTGTGTTGTTGTGTGACTGCTGTGGTGCGTTTGCTCTGCCTTTGCTTTTTGAGCCGAGCATCTGTCAGGGCTGTAGCTCCTCCGATCCCTGTTGAATCAAACGGCGTCATGCTCTTGAGGGAATAGGATTCCTCGGATGGGACCAGAGGAGCGACCGCGGCCTGTCTTCTTTTGTGCCCAGAGCAGAGCCCAGCCCTGAATCCTGCAGAGGAGAGCCAGAGGTTCCTGCAACTGGCCAAGCTATGCCAGGACCACACGCTTGTTGGCATGAGGCTGCTGGACAAGGTTTCCTCCGTGCCACACGGGGAGCTTGCCTGTAGTAAGTCCGCGGTGGGTAGAAAACGGGCCCTTGTGAGGGGTGTGAGGACTTCTGAACCTCAGGCTGACACCCAAAAGGTCTCCTGAGGATCTATTGGCCCGGGGAATCTGGACCTCCGTGACCTCATCTGTATGTTGTGTCGCTTGTTCACTCTTCTTGCACAGTCCACATTGATGCAGCCTGGTGACACATATTGGAACTCGGCCATCGTGTCCCTGAGGGTCAAAGCCCAGAAGCCGCTGCTTACGTGCTTCTTTCCGCTCTACATCTTATGTCTTGGGGTGGGGGGAGGGTGGGGGGGAGAGGCTAATGTTTGTTTCCAAGAGAGACAAAGTGGCAGAGCTAGGAAAAATTTGTGAGCTTTGTCCTCACGAAACCTGGACGAATGGTGGATCAGCGGCCGTGTTGTCTGTTCCCCCCCCGGAACAGCCCTGGCTTTCTCGTGGATCAGGTGGGGAGTCCGGTGCTCCAATGGGCTGAAATGCAACTCCCGGCGTCCCGTGTAAAGTCCGTGTCAGCCGACAGGCCGGGAGTTGTAGTTCGGTCGCATGGGTGAGGGTGCAGCCCAAGCGTTTGTTGACGGGAGCCCCTCTCCCTCCTCAGCGGTGGAGCTCCTGGTTCTGGCCCACAACTGCTTCAGCTTGACGTGCCACATGGAGGGCATCACTCGCGTCCTCCAAGCTGCCCGGCGGCTGACGGATGAACACTTGGCGCCCAAGGAGGAGTACGGCCTTGTGGTAGGTGAACTCTGCCCAGAGCCTGGATGGGCTGCGGTCGCTGGGTCCCTTTGGGGTCCTGGAGCCGGCCCTGGTGGAGCGGGGAGCTGCCCCTCCCAGGTGCAAAGCAGTTGCTAAGTTAGGGACACCGTTGTTAAGTGACTCCAGCTCCCCCGTTGACTTTGCTTGTCAGAAGGCCAGAAAAGAGTGACCCCCGTCATAAATATGAAACAGTGGATTTTGGTCACGTGACCAGGGGGGATGCTGGCAAAGGTGGTTAAGTGTGAAAAATGGCCGTAAGTCACTTTCCTCAGTGCCGTTGTAACTTTGGATGGCCGCTAAACAAAACGGTGGTAAGTCGAGGGCTACCAGTATTGACTGGGACTCCAAGACCCCCTTTCTGAAGCCCGCTGGATATCAGGAAGCGGCAGAGACCCCGCTATGCCCCTCACGGAAGGCGTGGAGCCTCGTGGATGCTCCTCTTCCCCCAGGGAGGGAGGTCGGCACTTGTCAGCCTCCAAGGATCCTTCCTAGAAACGGGGGGGGGGGGGGGGGGGGGAAAAAATGAGGGGGTGTGGGGGGGGGGGAGACCGCTGGAGGTTTAAGTTAGTGAAATGCAAAACGGGGGATGTTTTCTTGACTAAGCTGACTTGCTTACTGGGTGGATGTGGCCCCTTATCTATCCAGGCCAAGGTCAGCCGTCCTGGCCCGCCAGGTGTCTGCAGCGCCACCTGAAGAGGCCCCACACAACAACATACACACCTCAGATTGGATGGCCAGCTTGTGAACTGCTGGGGCTGGGAACCTGGGCATAACTTTCTGCATGTGTTTTTGTGCCTGTCGCTTCAAATCTTGTATTTCGTCTGATGCCGCCACTTCAATTTCCGGGAAACGTCCTTTATTCCGCCACCAGCGGAGTCCAAGGTTTTCTTCCTTGGATTTTGACCGGAGCCCCCCTGAGAGCACAGCTGTGGACGGGGCCCTTCCGCCTCCCTCCGCCGGATGTTCTCCTCTCCCCCACAGGTTCGCCTCCTCACCGGGATTGGCAGGTACAACGAGATGACCTACATCTTTGACCTGCTGCACGAAAAGCACTACTTTGAGGTGCTGATGAGGAAGAAGCTTGACCCGGTAGGCACTGTGGACGGGAACGACTCCCCCTGCGTCCTCCCGTCCCTTTTATCTCGAAGGGGGGTCCAAGGGGGGCCGGTTCTGAGTTCCTTCCCCTCCTTCCAAAGGAGGAACTAGCGGCCAAGTAGTTCTGGCCTTTCTGTCTGGCTGGACTCGAGAGCAGATCGTAAAGTTTGAAGGACTGAAGAACCAGGCAGTCATCGCCCGAAAGCAACTTGGGCCTGTTAAGGGCTTCCTCCTCTCTTAGGATCTCTCTCTCTCTCTCTAGCCGGAGGGCCCTGGGCTCCTTGGGGGGGGGGGGGGGGGGGGGGGGGGGGCTCCTCCTTCAGACGTCCTCGGGAACCACCATCCCACCCCTGCTGCCCTCCTCTCTTCCTGCCACGGCACAGGGGATTGTGGGGACGGGTGAGAACGATTCATGGGATTGGATGCTTTTGTCTTGTATGATTCTGGGCAGCAGCCATAATGCCACCCCCCCCACCCCTCCAACCACAACAGTTGTTACTGTCCAGCTTTGGCCGTGTTTTGGGAAAGCTGGAAGAAAGGAAGTTTCTCCTGTCAGTAGGATTATCTACACAGAGGATGGTTCATTTAAAGTTTATTTTAGAAAGGAGAGCAGAAACTATTTTGGGACTTTGGGGAGCAGCATGCCAAACGTCAAATCGCAAAGGACAGAGGAGCCTAAAATATAATCAGAGGTTTTAACATGAAACTCTGAGGAAAAGATGCGGTGGCATTGATTTGCTAACAACCAAGGAAAGAATCGCCTGGAGTTTCCAATTATTTCAAAGTGGGTTCCCTTGAAGAAAGTCAAGGCCCGTTTTTGTCCAGAGTTTGGCAGCGTAAATTCAGCACCAGAAAAGTAAACACAGGTGGCTGAGGCTTCATTTAACTTCTTTATAAACAGCTAAAGTAAATTTTACAATACCAGTTGTAGATTTCTCCAGCATGGAGCAAACTCAAACAGAAGCAGACATATGTTACAGGTTCAGAGCAGAACAGCAGCAACTCAGGAGCTCAGAAGCAGACCTCAGTCTCACTTTAGTTCAGCAGGCAAGCAAGACACACAGCAGAGGAGAGAAGCCGTTTCACTTTCAATGGACAGACTCGGAGCTCAACAGAGCTGCAGAGCTTAATATAGAGCCACGCCTAGGCTACTTCTCGTTTCAGTTTCCAAACAGTCCTCATTGGCTGACTTAGTTGCTATGCCTATTCATTGGCTGACCTTGTTACCGGGATCTATTCCAGTTCATGACTATACTCTTGACAGTTTTTTATCACTCCAAAGTGCAGAACATGGCATATTGGACTTGGAAGTGAAAGGCAGGCAGATTCTGAACCAATTTTTCAGGGAAAACCTTCCTGCTTGGAGCAGTTCAGCAGGGGAGGCCTTGATCCAGAGGGAGCTGCTGCTCGGTGGACGCGTCCAAGAGAGCAGCCGCCCACTGGGGATGCGCTCAGTCAGCAGCTGGGTCCGGATTGCCTCAAGCCCCCCCCCCCCTTTCCCCACTCCCCTGGGATTCTGCCATTGTGAAGGGCATCTCCTGGCCGGTGGGGGTGGGGCGGCCTGGACCGCTTGGACCGGCAAGGGGGTGGCTGCTTGGGCCCGCGTGGCCGAGGTTGAGCCCCTTCCTCTCTCCCTCTGGCAGAACGGGACCCTCAAGACCGCCCTGCTAGACTACATCAAGCGCTGCCGGCCAGGAGACAGCGAGAAGCACAACATGATCGCCCTCTGCTTCAGCATGTGCCGCGAGATCGGGGAGAACCACGAGGCTGCCGCCAGGGTCCAGCTGAAGCTCATTGAATCCCAGCCGTGGGGTAAGGGCCCCCCTGCCCAGGAAACTCGGGGATCCCTCGGGCTGGTCTGGCTTCTCCTGGGGGAGCAAAGAGCTGCTCCTCTTCCTTGGGCCTTCGGGCTTTGAGGAAAGGGGGAAAAAATAGGCCCAGGTGGAACCCAGCCAGACGGGCAGCACAGACCCCAGCCGGGACACCCAGGGCCGGTCGCTCCTCAGGAATCGGCTCTCTCAAGGGTTCTGCTGCACTAAACTCCCAGGCAGAAGAAGGTCCGGGGAGGGGGGAGCTGGCAGGTGCCCCTCCAGCCAGGAGCCTCCTGGGGAGCCCGCTGGGCTGGGCTCCAGCGTCCTCTACAAGCAGACCTGCAAAGCCTTTTGGCAGCCCCTGGGAAGGGCGAAGGGCCCCCGGCAGTAACTGCAACACAACTGGACTTCTAAGCCCGGGCAAAATATTGTAGCTTGGACTCGGTGGTATAGTAAGGCCCTGCCTGGCCAGTCCTCTCAAGAAAGCAGACCTCTCGAAACAGAAGCCACTTCCAAAGGGAACTTTTATTCTTGGAAGATTATAAAAGCGAGAGAATCTAGGCGGGGGTTAGCTTTCCCCCACC